TGAGGAAAAATAAGCATTCTTTGTAAGTGGGCAAACCTGCAAAATCAACAAGGGCTCAAATACTTATTTCCCCCACTGTATTTTACTAATATTACCTACATATATTTGACCTTAACCAGGAAAAAATCTACTTATTAAACCTATTAAACCTCTCTGGATCAGCTCCTCCTGATCCAGAACCAGGTAGAAGCTTTTGGATTTTATCAGAAAGCAGCTAAAAACGCTGTTTGAAAACAATATTTTACTAATATTACCTACATATATTTTAACTGAACCAGGACAAAGTCTAGTTTCTTAAACCCATCAGCTCCTCCTGAGCCATGGTTCTGCTCCAGGTTTCGGCCTGTTAAAGGAAGTTTTTCCTTGCCTGTGTCGCCTAGTGCTGCTCATGGTGGGAATTGTTGGGTTTCTGTAATTAACTTCTACCTAAGGTTGTCAAAAGTATCGATACTAAAATGTTGTGTCCGGATACGATACTCATTTTCAAAAGTACCGATACCAAATATTTATTTCTCAGAATTATGAAGGGTGGAGGGTTAGGGTTAGGATTAGGGTCAGGGTTAGGGTTAGGGTTAGGATTATGGTCAGGGTTAGGGTTATTAATGTGGGCCACCAGTCACAATAACATCAGTAACAGGTCAGTTTGAAACCAAAGACACTAACCTCTCAAAATTCAGTTAAATTTTGGTTTTTTTTGTTTTGTTTTGTCCTGAGTATCGGTATCGAGTTGAAAATTTTAGTATCGTGACAACCCTACTTCAGAGTAGAAACTGACCTGCTCTGTTTGGAAAGCTGGGAGACAACTGTTGTTGTGATGTGGTGCTATATAAATAAAATTAAATTGAAATTGAATTGGGGCCCTCGGGGGCCTCTGGGGCCTTTTACTGCCCCCGTGTTCCTGCTCTGCTACTACTCTGCATAGTGTTATTTCATAATCATTAGTATTAATATCAATGCCATTTTTCATCCAGTCTATGTGTTGGTGTGTTGGCTGCCTCTCTCTCTCTCTCTCTCTCTCTCTCTCCCTCTCTCTGTCTCTCTCACCCAACCGGCCGCCCACCCTGAGCCATGGTTCTGCTCAAGGTTTCTGCCTGTTAAAAGGAAGTTTTTCCTTGCCTGTGTCGCCTAGTGCTTGCTCATGGTGGGAATTGTTGGGTTTCTGTAATTAACTTCAGAGTAGGTCTGACCTGCTCTGTTTGGAAAGCTGTGAGACAACTGTTGTTGTGATGTGGCGCTATATAAATAAAATTAAATTGAATATAAATTGAATTGGGGCCTGTGGGTTCTCTGGCTCCTACCGTCCCATGAAGAAGTGCGTGAGCCCGGTGAGGAAGGCCCCGACCCCCATGAGGAAGCAGCCCACGGCGATGAAACGGGGCCGGTGCAAACGGGCCCCGAAGTGGCTGACCAGGGCCAGGAACAAAAGGTTCCCTTTGGGAGGAAAACCACCAGATAAGTCTAAAAACACAGCACAACCCTCTAAATCACATCATTTGACTGTCTGGTGCCTCAAAATGGAGGAAAATGTCACATAAATCTCCTGTTCTGATGGAGGACGTGCTTTTTTCTTTGACCTTTGACCTCAAAACTGAGACTAGAAACCAGGAAATGCTTCATTTATTTGTCAAAATTAAACGAATTAAACTAACTGATACTGTTCAGCATATTTATCTTGTATGAAGGAAAACTACCTGAACCAGTAAAAAGTCTATTTTTTAAACTGATCAGAGACCTGGACCAGAACCAGATAAAAGCTTTTGGATTTTTCAGAAAACGTGTTTTTCAACCTTTTTTGAGCCAGGGTAAATTTTTTCATTGAAAAAACCACGAGGCTCACCACCAACCAAAAATGTCAAACAAATCTGTACATTTTGGTGTTTATTTGATTCCTATTCAATACACTTAAGATAAGATAAGAATAAAATAAGAATAACTATAGTGTTACTATAGGCGGATACAGATTTGTTTAACATTTTTGGTTGGTGGCCTCGTGATTATTTCAATGAAAAAATGTACCTTGGGTCAAAAAAGGTTGAAAAACCCTGATTTAAAGGGCCTTTTCAGGCTTTACCCATCTCGAAGCTGCCGTCTATGAGCCCCACTTGTGTGCTGGACAGGTCGAAGCGCCTCTCGATCTGCGTGATGGAGCTCTTCATGTAGGTCCCGGCCAGGGCTTTGGAGAAGTAGGCGAAGGAGAGCGCCACGATGAAGAGCTGCAAAACGCAAAGTGTATCTAGTTAAAGTATATCTAACACATACACAAAATAATACACACAGAGAAAATAATCCCTCCAAAGTAATCCCCTTTAGCCCACCCAGGTCACTGCCCAGTAGGTCCACCCACTATATTCCTATCCCTGACAGAAATGGAACATATCTTAATAAAATCAATTAACTTCAATAATCTGGAGCATTATTGTATGTTTTGAAATGAGTCAAGAAAGGCTCCCCTGCAAAACGCAAAGTTAATCGTGAGTCCTCGATTCCCCCCCGATGCTCCTCATTCAGAGTGAAGGCCGGACTCTCCCAAAAGGGACCGACTCCCGGGGGAATCCCTCCCTTTCAAGTCAGGCTCTGCTCCTCCGATTAAACTAGATTTCCCCCAAAAACATTAATAATCACTGCAACAAAAGAGGAAAAAATGTGGAATTAATTAGAGATTTTATTACGTATTAACTCACATATTTTTGGATACTAACAGTAGAATCTGAGCTATTTTAACTTGAAAGTAATTTATTTTCTTAATCCTACATTTGAAGTGTTTCATGTATCCATTATTTTATCATTTCACCGATTTTTGGACACTCTGAGCTCTTTTAACTTAAAAGTAATTTATCCCTTTAAAGCCTGATCCAAGAAAAATAGGAGGAATATTGGATTTTTTTAGTCTGAAGTCTTTCTTTGGCCCCTCAACA